GAAATTATCTAAAACTTACAAAAACCAAACATCTAAAGAAAACAAAAAACTCAACTACAGTGGAGCCGGATGTGTTCTTTGAGCTCTACCTTCAATTGTAATGAAGCACTTTAAAAAAATAAAAAATAAGGCCGGGCGCTGGTGGCTCACACCTGTAATCCCAGCACTTTGGGAGGCTGAGGTGGGCGGATCATGAGGTCAGGCGTTCAAGCCTGACCAACACAGTGAAACCCCATCTCTACTAAAATTACAAAAAAAAAAAAAAATAGCCAGGTGTGGTGGCAGGCACCTGTAATCCCAGCTTCTCAGGAGGCTGAGGCAGGAGAATCGCTTGAACCCAGGAGGCAGAGGTTGCAGTGAGCTGAGATCGCCCCACTGCACTCCAGCCTGGGTGACAGAGCAAGACTGTCTCAATAAATAAGTAAATAAACAAATAAATAAATAGAGAGCGAGAGAGAGAGAGAAGAGAAAACTTCCAGGAATATTGTCCTGATGTCTAGTTCTGTAGTGAACATTAATACTGTTTGAATAGTAGTGGATGATTCCGAAACTAAGATCCATTTACAATTTTAGAAATAATTATATGATAACACATAGCTGTCAGTATTTATAAAACATCTTGTGATTTAGTTGCCATAACATCATAAAAGAGTGCTATAGCCTTGATACATTGGCTAGACTGTTTAAGAGGAAAGGAAATAAAGCTTACAGTAATTATGTAAGTTATTTCCTGAGTTAATTCCTCAAAAGGATATACTACACTTGATGGTCCTCTTTTCTACCAGGCTTCATCCAAAGTAATTGATTTGGAAACCACTTGCAAGGATAGGGCTGTGGGGCACCATTTTAATAACTGGATGCATAATTTGTGCCATCACATGCATATATCGTTTCATCAAGCACATGATTATGAAGTCAACTTTGACAGGACAGAATTGCACTGCAAGAGGAGAAGTGGATAAAGGCATTAGGCTTTCAGCACACTGGCTCTGCTTTATTGACATTTTACCCACACTAACAATGTTGGCATGTGTCTGACTTCTTCACTGTTGGCACAGCGCGGACATTCACACTGGGCATTAAACTCTTTAGTTGATAAAAAAAGATCCCACAATGGGAATCTCTGTAGCAGGTGTCCATCGTTTGACACTTGATTGTCTTAAGCAAGTATGTTCTTTGCAAACAAAGTACATCTACAAGCTGTATTACCTTTTGTTATACGCAGAGATGCAGTTTCCTTTAATGTTACAATGGTAGAAAATAAGAAGTAGCTGAACTATTGAATCCAGGTTGAAAGACACAACAATGTGTACTTATAAAGGACGGAATGAAACTAGAAATGTGAAGCCCAGTTAGGTGACAACATCCGTCCATGCCTGTTTTTCTCCCCATCAACTCTTTCAGCAAAATGTGATGGTCGTGTTTGGCTGTATTTTCATTCTTCTCCTCAACTCTTATATTCACATGAAATTAATGAACTTTCCAATTCTGAATAATGTGAAGAGACCAGGGGAGTGGAAAACTGCTTAGCCACATAGACAAAGCCCATTTATGTTTGGGCTTTGAAACACTTATTTGAATTTTGATTTGTGGATATTTCTTCTTGGCACTCGGTTTATATTTGATTTTTGTTCCTGATGCGATTTAAAAGTGATTGGTAGCCATGGAATGACTTTCAAAGGTGGACAGGAAAGGGTGGAAGGGAAGAAATGTAGGGTCTGCTAATCCAGCAGTCAAATCATTGACCCATGGGTGATTAAAAGTTGGCTGAGGTTGTGGAAACAAGACTACCCCTCATGTGATGGCAGCTTCAAGTCTCCTTTGTAGTTTTTGGATGTGAGGCAATGAGCCAAATGTTCTGTCTAAACTGTTTGGGAACTGCTTTTAAGTTCAGCACTCTTGGAGAGGTATTATGTGACAAGTTATTGCTTCAGTGCCCTCAAATGGCACCATGGCCTCAACGAATTAGAGCTTAAGCTGGAGCCTTGGAACTTAAGGAAGGAAGTGGTTCTAAACTGCGTTTCTGCCTCTAGCCATTTCTGTATCAACATATTCCCTTTAACAACATCTCTCTGTTAGAAAGGGCAGTTTGAAAAAGCTCCTCTTCCCCTCTCTTTGTTGTCTTTTTGCCCAACATACACATGTTGTGGGTTTTTAGTGAAGGATGCAATGGATGTAAGTTAAGTATATAATGACACAGCCATTTCTTCTTACCCAAGTCTAGTCTTAAGCTATAAACTTGTGAAATGAGCCGATTGTGGTCATTCAGTGGATTGTAGGATCTCCATAAAGTGCACCATCCTTTCTCTACTGAGGACCCATTCCAGTGGGAAAATATTCATGTAAAAAGCTACCATCTTCATCCTTGTCATTATGAGCCAAAGTTGCCAGATCCAACCTGGTTCCTCACTGAAGTGCCACACTCCTCTGTTTCGAGAGGAAACCGTTATAGATCATATACAGATATCCTAAAAACAGAGAGAATAGGCTTCATGTCCAGGTAAAGTTTGAAAATCACTGCCTCCCAATTAACCCCGTTATGGAAATTGACAAAACATATTTGCATATTCTAAAGACCTGAGATGTCCTCTATTAAAGAGTTCTATCCATCTTTGTTTGATTCAGCCTTTCCCAAATTTTTTGACCGTGGGACACCTGAGAATGCTGCCTAATAATTTTCATTTTTCTGTCTTTCAAGGGTTCAGGAACATATAGCAGGTGATTTTCCTGTTTATTGCTTTTCTCTAGGTAACATTGCAAAGTGCAACCTATATCACGGTCCAAAATTGTGTTTCTGAACCCTTTAGCTTTAGAATCCTGCTGGCATTTTAGAAAGAGCCTCAGACACACTGACAAAATACATTTTTAAAAAATCAGAGTTCTAATATATTGTTATAAGAAAATTGAACTAGTTACTTTTATGTTTAGAAGGGCACATTTTCTCTCAATGGGAAGAAGTACAGAGAAGGTCAAATTATAACCACCAATTTGTCTGGTAAACATGAGATTAAAGCAAAGACAGTTGATTTGTGTGTTTTGAATAACCATCAAACTTCAGTTACCATAACCTTTGTTACCATTTGTCCCCATTGAAGGAGAGAAATATCCCAGTGACTGGACATGTTTACCCCAAAGAAAATTTTAGAGATATTTTTCCTCTCTGTTTGCCTGTCTCACTTGCAGTGAAATAATAGATGAACATAATTTTTATTTATTTTTTTCAGTGAAATAATACGTGAACATAATTTTTTTATTTTTTTCAGTGAAATAATAGATGAACATAATTTTTTAAAGTACTATAAAAAAAAGGACTTGCCCCATCTTCCACTTTCTACTATGTAGGTTTCATCTTTACAGAAAGTGTCTTCTGTGTCTTTGGGATATTTATTTGGGTAGTCAAGTCTACGTTATAGACCTGCATCAGCGATATGTTTGTTTGTTTGTTTGTCTGTTTGTTTATTTGAGACGGAGTCTCACTCTGTCACCCAGGCTGGAGTGCAGTAGTGTGATCTCGGCTCACTGTAACCTCTGCCTCCAGGGTTCAAGGGATTCTCCTGCCTCAGCCCCCTGAGTAGCTGGGACTACAGGTGCACCACCACACCTGGCTAATTTTTGTATTTTTTAGTTGAGGCAGGGTTTCACCATGTTAGCCAGCCTGGTCTGGAACTCCTGACCTCAGGTGATCTGCCCACCTTGGCCTCTGAAAGTGCTAGGGTTATAGGCATGAACCACCGTACCCACTTATTTCTTAATATGTTAATTTTATACATTATTAATGTCTCTTTATTCTTGAAAGGGAATCTGTTTGTTTTCTTTCCCTTCATACTTTATATCTTTCAGGATTCCATTGCAGGAAACAGAATAATTCTAGCTATTTCAAGCGACAAGTGATTTTAAACTACAAATTCGAAGCTTTGGAAATCACTGGAAGGGCTGAAAGAGCAGGATGTAGGCTGGGATTTCAAGCATGACTCCTTGAACTGGATAAGATTAGTGAGCAGTCTTTTTACTGAAGCATAATTTACCTACAGTGTAAATTCAGTTTTTTATGTGAATAATTCAGTGAGTTTTGACAAATCTGTGTTGCTGTATAGCCACACGCCATTACTTTCAACATACAAAACAATTCTATCACCCTCAAAAATTCTCCATGACTTTTCCTCACTCCTCCCCAGCCCCTGGCAACCACTGATCTGTTTCTTTACTTACAATTTTTCCGTTTCTAGAATATTGTATAAATTGAATCATGCAGTATGTAGTCTTTTGTGTCTGGCTTCTTTCACTTAGCATAATGTTTTTTTAAATTCATTTATGTCATGGTATGTATTAGTAGTTATTACTGGGTAGTTTGTGATATGGATATACAGTCATCCATTTTCAATCTGTGATTGAATTCACAGATGCAGAATCTATAGATACAGAGGGCCGACTGTACCACAATTTACACCTTTACCAGTTGATGGACACTTGAGTTGTTTACAGTTTTAGGGAATTATGAGCATTCATATGAAGTTCTTCGTGTGAATATATGTCTTCATTTATCTTGTTTAAATAGGTAGGAGAGGATTGTTGAATTGTATGGTGTGTGTGTAACTTGATAAGAACTGTCAAACTGTTTTCCAGACCCTCGTATCATTTTGCACTCCCATCAGCAGTATAAGAGAGCCCCAGTTCCTCCACGTCTTCAGTACTCTACTGTCAGTCTTGTAGGTAGAGTCTTAACCTGGTTTTCCTGATCCCCAGTGGGTTCTCCCTTCCAGATTTGCTGTTACATAGCCAGCTCCAGTTCTGTTTCTCTGTGGTAAAACAGTGATTTAAATATATGTATGTGTGTGTATATATATATATCTGCAAATTGGTGACATCCAGGATGCAGACCAGCTCCAGTGCCCAGCTGAACTTGCTAATCGGTACAAAAAACAGTGTTGATCTTGGTCTTAACTAGACCCTCACTGGATTTGAAATGTTGCACATAGCAATGTTTTATGGTTCTCTTTCAGGCTATTTGATCACTCCATGGAAGGATTTAAAAACTGGGAGTTCATGACCATTCATTGCTGGGGGGAAAGAGCTGCTGGTGACTGGGTCCTTGAAGTTTATGATACTCCCTCTCAGCTAAGGAACTTTAAGACTCCAGGTGAGAACTCCCTCTCTATACATGGGTCTACTGTGTAGAAGAAAATGATGGAGTATATTTTGGCCAGAGTGTTTCACACTCACATATTAGCATCTTTTTTCTAATGATTAATTTCATGTGTGCTTTGAATTGCCTGCACGTTTTTCAGTTTTCAAGATTACCATTTGAGAGGTAATAATTTAAGGATAGGAAATAAAGAATACATATAGTATAGAACGAAACATGACAGCTTTTGATTGATGTTTCAGAAGACATGATCCACAGCTCTAACCAGCTTCCCAGACTTCCTTTGTCTGTAAACAAGCCAGCCTGTCCACTGGCAATGAGTTCAACTGCATGATTTCACAAGAAGAGACAGGCTTCCGTAGTTATCTATTTCTTTTTAGTTTTCCCTAAATTTACTTTTCAGTTTAGGCAAGACATTGAGCTCAGCCCATGCCAGCTAATCTGGGTACCACCAAAGAAAATGATGATGATATTCTTCCCTGCATGAGCCCAAGAGCCAAGGAAAAAGAAATGCTTCTTGACATGTAAAACAGAAATTATGATGTTAGCAAAGGTCTTTTCAGGTAGGCACAGTCTGTTTCTTCACACAGCCTATTCCCGTCTTCATGCTAACCTGTAAAGCTTGTTTATAATATAAAATAAGGGAAAGTACAAGGCAACATGGGATGAGAGACTGTGTTGCCCATTACAGAGCCCTGCAGAGTGGCTCAGCAGTGAATAATCTGTTTAATAACTAGCTAGCTTCCCACCCATCCATGAACACATCTTCAGCCATCAGATAAAGTCCTCCTTCTCAATGCTCTGTCCAGTCCTATTTAAAAGAACCAGGCTTGGGGGAAGTTTTAGGACTGACATCCAGTTCTAGCCCTCTCCAGATTACAGAATCAAGTAACCTAGACATTCTGTAACTGTAGGAGTGTGTACCATTCAGATACAGCTAGCTGCTCGGGGCAAAGGAGGCACACAGCAGAACACAGGGATAAAGGGCACATTTGCCAGACTTTTGCCTGCCAATCTGAGAAAGTTACTCATTCTGAGAGATCCATTGTTGACTGTACATTTTGGCTATCTCTTCCCTAGTTCTATAATGAGGTTCATCTTTGTTTGCCACAGTGGTCCCATAATCAGGGAGGTCAAAGCCAGAATGGTGGCCAGGTCACAATGAATCAGGATAAATGTTTCGTTAAAGAGTATCTGTGCCCAGCTCACTGCCAGAATGCAGCCTGAATATAGTGGTTACCAAGTTTTTATCAAGAAAGCAAATGTTTGTCAACAAGGCAGGATTGATAGAGAAAACATGCAGATTATAGACCAGAGTTTCTAGACCCTTTCACCTCTTCGTAATCTGCATAGTTCCCAGGACCTTCCTGTCTCCTTTCTTCCTCTTTGCAGCCCATGCTTATTGCCCTTGCCATGAGGATGCACAGGGTCATGGCACATAGGTGAAATGGAAGCATGGTGACTGGGCTGTGATCTATTAGCAGGCATCACTGCACGACTCTTACAGGACAAGAGACCCCGGAGAAATAAACACTGTCAAATGTGGCAGTTGTGTGCCAAGGAAGATGCAGACATAGAGAGTACGTTTTTGAGCATTTTAAACAGTTATAAAACTAACTAAACGTGAGTCTGTTCTTTATTACCACCAGACACCAGCAACTCCACTCTCCATGATAAGCCCAGGCTGCTCCTAAGGGCTACTGGTTAACCATGCATTGCATCTAAGGGTCAGGGACCATGAATATAAATCCCTCTGCCCTCAAGAAGTTCTGAGTCTATACAGAGCTTACTGTGATTATGCGTGTTTAAAACTCCACAGTAGCTCAGGTAATCTAGAGTTACCTATTTCATAGCATTGGCATCTCCTTATGCTATTTAAATGTTCACATTTAACCCTAGTCACCTGCAGTCATTTTAGAAGTGTTGAGGTGTTCTTTTTACGCCACACGAGATACCCTAATGCTATTACGGACCTGGAGACTTTAATAGAAACATATAGTCTTTGTGTATCTTTCCTTCAACCTTTCATTTCAGGATGAGTTACACCTTTAGTAGTGGACTTTGAGTGGCCTGTTGATGGGCGTGTGTGTGTATGCGCATGTGTCTGTATCATTGTTTCTGTAGTATACAGTCCTATGATAGGTTTCTTCCTCTCTGATTAATAAGGGATTACATCAGTAAGCGAGTAGAATTTCAGTTGCATCTGTAGAATTTTCCAGCCCGATTAAATGGTAGACTCATCCCCAAATATAGAACTTGCTGGCTCCAAACTGAATTTATATTTGTTTATTGTTTCTTCCCATTTATTTATTGTTACAATACATATTAAAAGTGTTTGAGGGTGTTGTTTTGATTTTTGGCACATTGAACCTATATATGCAGATTGCATTTATGTGTTAGCAAGATGGATTTTTCTCCTTCTGTATTTACAAAGCTATTTCATAATAACAGATTTCAATATTAATTGCAAAATCATCTATAAAATTTAGCAAACAGAAAAAGGGGTAGAGGAGAAAAAAAAAATGATGGCCCAAATATGGCAGTTATTTGATGTGAATTGTAGTAGAAGTTCTAAGGAAATAAAATTACATAATAAGCGAAATATAAAGAGATGAATTACACAGGAAGGATATGCCTAGTGGGCTTATGATGTCCTTCAGAAATAACACAAAGGGAAATAATCAATTTTGAGACAGCACTCTTCAAAGCACTTAGAGGGTAAACTTTTGCATCCAAAATGATCTTAAATAAAATGAACTGAGTTCTAAGGTGACTGATGATTAGGATGACCTATAGTGTCCTTGTATTATATGCTTCATTTGTACACTTGAGAGATGCCATAAGGAAAATGGGTTCTCTTTTGCACTGCTACCTAAAGGCAATCAGATAGGTCATCAATTTCCAGCAGTCATTCACTTCTTACCACTCCCTAATGCATGCTACTTAGAATTCTGGGCCTAAATAACACCCTGATTGTGAAAAGCATGGTCATTAACAAATGAGTCCAAAGAAAAGCTGGCAGAGGGCAAACCATATATAAACTAATTGTACTGGTGCAATGTAAAAGTCAGAAAAAAATACATGCATCACAGAATGTTCATTTTTAAATGTAAGGCTCCTAAACTCCTAGAAATGAATAGGAGACAATACTGTATATGGTTTAAACACACAGGATTTGGACTCGGAATATGTTTTAATACCAGTCTGTCCTCTTATTGCCTTTGAGGAAGTTACCAACCTCTGTGGCTCTGTTTCCTCCTCTATATATTGGGAATGTTAGTACCTACCTTAGAGTTGTTTTGAACATTGAATGGAATAAAACTTACAAACCACTTAGGCCGGTGCTTAGCATATAGTAAGCACTTAAAAACATCAAACATCAATTTGATGGTGATGGTAGATGCTAATAGATGAAGGAAGCTGACAGCTGAAATCCATCACTCTCTGAGCTAGCCCCAGACCCTAGCCCCTGACCTTGTCTGGATTCTATGCATTAAGCCAAGGTGAGAGGGGTTCTGAGGGGCATCCTGCTTTCCTACCAGCATATGCCTATGTTTGTAATGGTTTTGTCTTAATCACTCCTGCTTAGGGTTGATTCCTTTTGAGGTCAGTTTTACTAACTTTAATGAAATGGAGGCATGTTTCCTTTTTTTTTTTTCTTTTTACTTTTTGCATTGAACACAATTTTATGAAGCTAAGAAATAAGTTAACAAGAACTAAATAAGTTAACAAATAAATAAGAACTAAAGCAACAAAAAATGCTCCTTGTGAGTGGTCCAAACTCATAGAAGGTGAAACACTTGCCTCAGGTCTCAAGGCGTTCTTGACCAGAAAAATGCTGTTTTGGGCCAGGTGCGGTGGTTCACGCCTGTAATCCCAGCAGTTAGGGAGGCTAAGGCAGGTGGATCACCTGAGGTCAAGAGTTCGAGACTAGCCTGACCAACATGATGAAACCCTGTCTCTACTAAAAAATACAAAAATTAGCTGAGCGTGGTGGCGGCCACCTGTACTCTCAGCTACTTGGGAGGCTAAGGCAGGAGAATCACTTGAACCAGGGAGTCAGAGGTTGCAATGAGCCTGGATCACGCCATTGCACTCCAGTCTGGGTGACAGAGCAAGATCAAAAAAAAAAAAAAAAGGAAAAAGAAAATGCTGTTTTGCACATTAACCCAGAGAACATTCTGCAATGATGGAAATGCTGTCCAGTAGGGTGGCCACTAGCCACATACAGCTCTTGAGCACTGGAAATATGGTTAGTGTCATGGAGAAGCTGTATCTTAAATTTTTTTAATTTTAGTTCATTTAAGTTTAAATAATCACATGTGTAATGGCTATCACATTGGACAGCACAGGTCTATAGGATACTATAATTGGTGATGTATTCTTAATATTGAATGAATGATACCAGGAATTAGGGAGAACAACGAGTTGTTCTGTCTACTTATTAACAAGTCAGATAATGCCAAGAAAAAACAATTTTTTTTTGAGATGGAGTCTTGCCCAGTCCCCCAGGCTGAAGTGCAGTGGTATGATTTCCACTCACTGCAACCTCCGCCTCCCGGGTTCAAGCTATTCTCCTGCCTCAGCCTCCCAAGTAGCTGGGACTACAGGCACATGCCACTGCGCCTTGCTAATTATTTTTGTATTTTTAGTAGAGACGGAGTTTCACCATTATTAGCCAGGATGGTCTCGATCTCTTGACCTCGTGATCCACCCGTCTCGGCCTCCCAAAGTGCTGGGATTACAGGCGTGAGCCACCGCGCCCGGCCATATCAGACTTTTATACCTAGAAAAGCAAAGCCTTCTATTAAGTTCTGGGATTCTCTTAAATATTTGTAATTTGAAATTCAGCCCTTGATCCAGTAATCTGAAGTTTGTTTCTCAGTCTTCCTATAAATGCTAATTCAATCAAGGCCTCTCCTGTAGTACGTGCTCAGTCCATATGTGGTATGTGAATTATTAAATAGTTAATTCTGCCAATGGTGAGAAATATGCATTTCTGGCTCTGCGTTTGACGTAGTGATTCATATCCATCTGCTTCCTACAGTTCTGTTGCTTTTTCTTGAGTGAGAAGGACTTAAAGATGTTACAAACCTAAAGAGGGAAGATTTGGTCATGCTGTTATTTCATTATTATTTCTCAAGGTAAATTGAAAGAATGGTCTTTGGTCCTCTATGGCACCTCCGTGCAGCCATATTCACCAACCAATGAGTTTCCTAAAGTGGAACGGTTCCGCTATAGCCGAGTTGAAGACCCCACAGATGACTATGGCACAGAGGATTATGCAGGTGAGCTGGCTTCCAGTGGGACACAGCCTAAAGAGAGAAAGCTCATGTGTCATCCCACCACAGGGGGGGAGTGGAGTGGAGTGGAGTGGAGTGGTGGGAGTGGGAGTGGGAGTGGGAGTGGGCATGGAATGGGAATGGAATGGAATGGAATGGAATGGAATGATAGAACAGAGCCAATATACTACCCATATTCTGACATATTTTCTTCCATCTTATTTTTATCCCCTTAATATCTGTATGTGTGTATATATCAGTGCACTTATATATTCAAATATCCATATGTGTTATCTACAAAGCTGATAGTCCATACTGTGATTGTACTGTAACATATAGTTAATCCATAATCTGGGACACATACTTCACTTACAGAGTTTTACACTATTTTAAACACGGGTTGGATAAACATCATTATTTATCAGTCTTTGTCTATATCTTCATTATTTCTGTAGAATAGAGTTCTGTTTTGAGACTCACTGCATCAAAGAGGATAATCAGCTTTAGGGCTTGGAAACATTTTGTCACTTGCTATCCAGACAGGATGTACCAGTCTACACTGTGACCAGCTATGTGATTGTTTATTACACTCATTCCTGCCAACAGAAAAAAATAGAAAAAGAAAGTAGAAAAAGAGGTGAACGTTTTAAAAATGTTATAGCTTTGATTGCCTGTAATTCTAAACATTTTTTTCCTCTGTAGTTCTCTGAATTAAATACAACTGTCTTTTACCCATTTTTCTATTCAAAGTGCAGTAATCCTCTTATCTCTTTGTGAACACTCTGTATGTTATTGTCTCTCACATTGTTTCATATTTGCTGAAAACATATTCTCACTTATCACTGAGAATGTAAGTTTTGTTTTGTGTTGTTTTGACAAAACACTATTAGAGGCTGGAGTTTATGGTCTCAGATATAACACTGATTTTTTGCAGAAGTTTCATCCTTTAATGTCTACTGAATATTCACGTGCTTTGTTTGGTAATCTCTTGTTTTTTACATTTGGCCATTAATTCATCTGGAACTCATTTTGGTTTATGACATATAGTGTCAATTGAAGCTCTGTCTTTAGTTATTTTCCAAACAGACTAACATTATTGGCTAACTATCCCTTCTTTTTTTATTAGTTTAGGATGCTTCCTTTATAACAATATAGTAAGATCTTATACCAGCATCTTTTCTGGTTCCACCTTTTCTGATTCATCAATCTAATAATTCTCAAACCAATACCACCCACACTGTTTTGTTTTCATTTCATGATGTATTTTTATATTTGTAGAACATCTGCTTCCCATTTCCATAGCAATTATTGCCCTATTATTCTTCCAGATGAATTTTAGAATGATTTTTAAGTCTCCCTTTAAAAGTCTCATTGGAATTTAATTTGAATTTATATGCAATCTTGTGGGAAGAATTGTTTTCACAACATACAATCTTTCCATTTAAAACATAGATCATGTCCCATTTTACTGAAATCTTTTAATTTTATGTCGTTTTCTTCTTGTTAGTGTTACACCTAGTATTTTGGGCCTTGTTGCTCTTATAGTGGAAAATATTCCTTGCTTTCTAACTAGTATATGCTGGTGTGTAGGAAATCCATTGGCTGTATTTATTTTATATATGGCCACTTTGCTTAACTCTCTCATTAATTTATATAGTTTAGAGTTGATTTTCTGGGATGGTTTAGGTACTACAGCCTTAGCATCTGCAAATTGGTTTTGTTGTCCTTCTCATCATTATTTCTGACTACTGTCTTGTTGCATTGGCTAGCACTCCTAGGAGCATTCAATCCTTCTGAGATATGACATATAACACATAATGGACAAAGCTTATTCTAATGAAGAACTATTTATAGGTCCGGCACGGTGGCTCATGCGTGTAATCCCAGCATTGTGGGAGGCCAAGGGGAGTGGATTGCCTGAGCTCAGGAGTTTGAGATGAGCCTGGGCAACATGGTGAAACCCCATCTCTACTAAAGATACAAAAACAAATTAGCCGAGTGTGGTGGTGTGCACCTGTAATCCCAGCTACTGGAGAGGCTGAGGCACAAGAATCACTTGAACTCAGGAGGCGGAGGTTGTAGTGAGCCGGGATCAGGCCACTTCACTCCAGCCTGGGCAACAGAGCAAGACTCAGTCTCAAAAAATAAAAAGAACTATAAATACAAGTTTAATGTATCTTTAGATGAGAAATATTTTTTCTTGCAGTTCTGAGATTTTCCTTTAAATACTGAAAATAAAATTGCTTCATTAACCACCTGAACAGAGTATCTTAAATACACATGTAGTTACTTTTATTCTAAACAGATAGCATCCTAGAATCAATAAACATGCTTGAAATTAAGACCAATCGAGCTAATCAGAGCTGGATTGTATTAGATTTTGTGATGTTTTGCTTTGAGCCTATAGCATTACTATTTATATTCTAACTATATTCTAACTAGCGAACTATTTTGTCTTCTCGGATAGGAGAAAGTATATCCAAAATAACATAAATAGAGTGTAATAGTAAGCTGTTACTCTTTATTCATATTTTGGTAATGTTTCGAATTCAAATTTCGGAATGTTGAGTTCAGAACAGTTATACATCTTTGTGGTTTTTCTGATTATATCTCTAAAACATCAACATTGGCACTTGTGAGAGAACCAAGACAATTATTGCATTATTATCCTGCAACCTGCAATGCTAAATTGCATCTGGGACAGTTTAAGATGATAAAAGAAACAACATAGTATGTGAACTTGCCATACAGTGAGAGCCCTTTTGGCAAATATTAAGAATAAATGTTTGGGATTTTTTTTTTTTAATTCTAGAAGTCATCTGGTGAAAATTTAGGGCCACCCATGATTCCTCTCCTTTGGAGCTGCAATTTTCACCTTCATTTAGAAGTCAGCCAGATTAGAGACACAGATGGCGTTATCATAACCAGATTCCCATACTGTGTCATTGGATCCCAGGGACTGTGAGATCACAGCTGGCTGAACTTCAGTCCATAGGCAGCAGAGACACCACTCCCCTGGTGTACGATGGCAGATGGCTAAAATGTCCCAAGTTGCAGTAGCTATGGAATTTAGAGATCAATTTGAAGCTTTGGGGAAAATAGAAATAAGCAGTGCTGTCAAATGACTCTTGCAGTTAATAAGAAGTATATTCAAGTCTGCAGCATTTTGAAATGACTTATTTCCATTCAGATGGAGAAGTCATCCCTAGTACATGGTTTGCTACCTCTAAGCAGGAAATTTTTACCTAGGTATCAGGACCTACGTTGACCCCTCTCCTCACCATGTGATACTGGGCAAGCCACTGAAATTCTTTGAAAATCAGTTTCCTCATCAGTAAAGTGAGGGTATTTGACTACCAGATTTTTCTCTAAGTCATTCCACCCGAGATCTAACATTTTATGTTTCTGTGATTCAGTAATTATGAAACATAGTCCCATAATGACTCAAAGAAACCAAGGTATAACAGTAAGTCCTTTGGGTTAAAATAAGTAGATTTTCTACTACCCTTGATATACTATTTGTACATTTCATTCAATACATTTATTGCTAGTTAAAATCATATGAATTTTCAGTGGGAAAGAGTTTGTAGATTATGAGACCAAATGTTCCAGAATATGGCGAACAAAGAAGAGAAGAATTAAAAACTTCTAAACTAGCCCATGTCATTAGAAAGTTTTTCATCAATCACAAAAGTGCTCCATCTTTCTGGCATTTTTTTTTTCTTACTGTGCATTCTCTCCAGTTCTATACCAAAGAATAAGTAGTAAGAGAGATTGGGAACTTTCATCTCAGGTCTGGAATCCTTTAAACTTGCTTGCATTTTTTTAAATTTATATATCATTTTCTTTTGTCGAATTGCCCATTGGCCTTTGTATAGGAAGCAATTTTAAATCTATTATCTGTGTTTGAGACTGGATGCTGATAAGCTTGTGCCAGGTGCCATAATGGTGTTTCTTACCGGCCACAGTATTTGAGAGGTATTCAGTAGCTTTAATGATCTTAAATGAGACAGGTCATTTGGTCCAGGCATTAAATAATAACTCTTTTCTTTTTTGTCAACAACTTCTCTCTTTTCTACAAATCCAATCTTTTTATTATTACACATACTTAATTGCAGTTGGTTTTTTTCCAGTTGCTACAGTTCATTTGAATTCTAAAATATTTATCTACCACGAGGCAGCCATATGTGCTTTGAAGACCAGGCCATGACTAGAATTTACATTCTTTATACCTAGGCAATTGAAATTGCCTAAGAATCAAAAGTCGAAAAAAGTCAAGAGCTCATCTCTGGACCTAAAGCCACATTGACAATTATTCCTCTGTCTTAAAGAAACTCTCTGCATAAGAAAAAAAAAAGACTTATTTTATACCAAATTCAAGGTAAAGCTTACCTGCTCTAAAATCATTTTTCCAAGTATTGTTCCAAGTATTGTTCTAATGTCTTTTGGAAAGGTCCCTGCGACCCTGAGTGCAGTGAGGTTGGCTGTGACGGGCCAGGACCAGACCACTGCAATGACTGTTTGCACTACTACTACAAGCTGAAAAACAATACCAGGTAAGAGAGGGGCCAAGTCACATCCCCACAGCATGTGCCACTCCCACAGGCATCTTAGGAGTCCCTGCAAGGCTAATACCATGGGGTGTGTGCAGGCCACTGGCATCTTCCACTATTCTCCCACCAGGACCTAAGCATAGAAAAGAGGCTGCTGTGCAGGCCGACTGCCTCCCTGTGTTATTCAGAATGATGAAAACTATATTAAGTTACAAAACGCAAAATGTGCGTGTATGCTGTGAAACTGTAATGTCTTCTCTCACATTTGGAGGATGGTGGAGGGACCAGCTAAGCACCTGCCCCTCCAGACCTTTCTTTTTCTTTTTAATTGACAAGTAAAAATTGCATGTATTTATAATGCACAACTGATGTTATATGTGTGTATATGTGTGTATGTATGTATGTGTATATGTGTGTATGTATACACACATATACATATACATACATACATTTTGGAACAGTTAAATAAGCTATTTAACATATGCATTAGCTCACATACTTATCTTTTTTTGTGGCCAGAACACTTAAACACTACTCTCGTGACAGTTTTCAAGTACACAATGAACTGTTATTAACTCTAGTCATCATGACAGATTTCTTGAACTTATTCCTCCCATCTCACACAAGTTTTGTGTCCTTTCCACCCCACTGATATTCGATTTCATGGCTTCACAAAGATGCCAATGCACAGGCCAAACTGATGCTTTTCCACATTCCCCAGCACATAGGCCATCAGTGTGGCAAAGGGGTTGGTCCTGCTTGATGTCACTCTTCTGCCGTGGGCACTAAGGTGGACCCTGTGCCTCTGAGCCCCTGGTGTCTGCTTGAGCTGTGCAGATACGTTTCCTGGGCAGGGCCAAAGAATGGAGACTGCCCCAATCAGAGTTCATCCTGACCTCCCGTTGTCTCCCACAGCCTCACCCACCTTCTCCCTCCTCCTTCAGGCGAAAACTCACTAAGCGGAGCTGCCTCATGGTTCCTCCATACTCCAGTCCCCCAGACAGACCCAGACATGTTAAGAATTCCTGTTGTAAGTCTGCCGGAATTTAAATTCCTTAAGAGAAAGGAGGACTTTGACTATCTCTCAGCTTCTGTTATCTCCTGTACTTAGCAAAATGCCTAACATTTAATTGGTGCTCAGTAAATATTTGTTGAATGGATAAATAAAACTCTGTGCTTCCATTATGGGCAAACCAGAAAATTTTTTTCTTAAGTGTTCTCATACACAACATAAATTTAAATATATTTATATTAATTTAGACAACAGCATACAACCACCACCACCACTCACATATGCACATACAGAATCCATATGACAAACACCACATGAAAATAGAAGTCACACCTTATTAAAGGGACCTTTTTGAATGAAGTCGTGGTTCCCACATAGTTTTCCTCTGATTCACCCCCATAACCTTCCTCTCTGTAACCATCATCCTTTTTCAAGGGCTAGGTGTAAACCAGGAAATGGTTTGACAAGTCTTGGTAGACTTGGTGTTGGGTAACTGCATTGCTGCTTCAGCACACCGTGCAGGAGGAAGTTTAACAAACAATCTGGCTCTCTGGATGTGGTGTTGGCATCCTGGTTTAAAAGTGATTTGGAGGCTGAGCTCAGCCATTTGCTCAGCACCTGCAAGAGAATGCTGAGGACTGCTTCGCTCGTGACGCTGCCTTCTTTCTTATCGTTTCACAATGCAGGATCTGTGTCTCCAGCTGCCCGCCTGGCCACTACCACGCCGACAAGAAGCGCTGCAGGAAGTGTGCTCCCAACTGTGAGTCCTGCTTTGGGAGCCATGGTGACCAGTGCCTGTCCTGCAAATATGGATACTTTCTGAATGAAGAAAGCAACAGCTGTGTTACTCACTGCCCCAATGGGTCCTATCAGGATACCAGTAAGCTCACTTCAAATATTTGGGTTTTAGAGAAGAAATGTGGGGTTTTCATGTGAGTGACCTCAGGAAGGATAGTCCTCTTTGTGAAATCTGGAATTGTCCCTCATATCAAACAGGATCTAGTTCATTTATTTTAAGCGAACCCTTTAGAAGCTTTATGTAAAAATGCTTGTAACTTTATCAGGGTATCCTCAAGCCCACCCCCCGATTCAGTGATTTGCTGGGAATATTCACAAGGCTTGGGATATAGTCGTGCTCATGAACTCATAGATAGGAGATATTACAGCAAAAAAATCATCAACGGGAAAAGGCATATGGGACAAGGTTCAGCCACACAGGACGTGTTCAGTTCCCCATGCAACCATCTGTGATGACATGCATGAAATGTTGTCTACCAGGGAACCTCATTAGAGACTCGGGGCCCAGGGTTGTCATTGGGGGCTGGTCAGACTTGACACGTACCAAAATTCCAGACTCTTCAAAGGAAAATAGGTGTTCCCCATAAACCATATTATTTATACAAACAGTTTAGACAAAGTGAGCCACTCTTTTCAGGGTAGTGGGAACCCTCCCAAAATTCAAGTTCCCAGATGTGCCAGCCATGGACCAACCTTACAAGCAGATTTGCAAAGGACAACATTCAGGCCTGCTCTTTTCTGCACACTGACCAAATAGACACCGGGCCTGTATGATATCAAAATATACTTTTTAAAACGTTCAAAAAATATGACTGTCTTTTAAGAGTAGAATGAACATTTGTCAATGACTTATTTAACCCACTAATAAGGGAACTTGCAAGGTGACGAACAGGGCGGAAAGATGATCAGGTACTGTAGTCCACCAGGAAAGGCAAAATGGAAATCCTTTTGCTAAGTTAGAAACAAAATGGAATCATTTAATAATTTTCTACATGGCCATACAAGTAGAATTTGGGGAAGTGTTTTTTTTTTTTTCTAATGAATAGAAGTAATTTGCAACCTTACCAAACAAAAATCTGTGCATTAACACAGAGTTTGGGCCATAATCAGCCATCATTAGCAAACAGACGAAGGTATATTGCCCTAGAGAATTAAATAATCTTAAGGTAGACCTTTTGGACAGTGTTCTAGTGTGGCTCTGAAAAGGACTGCAGTTACCTTTTACTTTATTTCTGAGTTCTGGATAATTTCTCTTAACAAGAACGTCATACCATGGTATATGATGGCACTGAAATTTCATGTTTCTGCACAACCTAAGGAAGAAAAAAGAAAACTCAAGTTTAAAGGAACAAGAGTTATTTAAAATAAAATCAGACAAGAAATCTGAAGTGAATACTCTTGCTTCTTAAGAAGTGAAATTCTCTCTGGTTTCAAAGAGGAGCATTTCTCTGTGAGGCAGACAGGATCTCTCAACTTACCCTTTAGGGCAGTGGGTAGGGACTCTGCCTTTCTTGCTTGCCCCAAAATTTAGAACATGAACTTTGACTTGAGGGAGAAAAGAGAAATTGGGAGAGAGAAGGGGGCATAAAGAATCCACAGAAATATGCAGTATTCCTTGTGGGGAAAAAAAGTCAAAATTCTATCAAGAAGGTTGAGCCTTGGAAAAGAAATTTGATTCTGGAATATTATATGACAGAACCAAAGTAATTGAGAGTCAGTTGTTTCCAGAGCCTAGAAGGTAGATAATTAAGGTGTTGAAACTATGACTTCAGCTACCACAAAGTGTTGATACAAGTGGTTTGTATATCTCTCTCTATGTAATTGCCTTATGTTATAGTTTTCTTCTCTAATGAGTCCATTTATGTACAACATAATGATCACATATGATCATCAGTAGTAGTAATTACTGCCAACACATTTACAGTGCTTAATAGTTCATATCGTTCCCTTGAATAATTAATTTTATTTAACTTCTCAAGACAACCAGAGAGGTGGGTAGCATTATAATCTCCATTTAATGAGTGAGAGAACAGAGACCCTGAACTTGCCCACTGGAGTTGCTAAAAGCAGAATGCAAATCTAGGTCATCTGAGTTCAGATTCTATGCATGTTCAGTATTCTCAGTGAGACAGTGAGAGAGACCATGTGATGACTACTGTTAAGATTATAAGGGGCTTCGTATTTCATGCTCAGAGGCTCAGACTTGATCCAGCAGGTCCTTGCAGGGACCCACTAAGTTGTGTTTCTCTATGGAACCCTGAAGAACACCAACATTTAAAAAGCAGATGGAAGCCCATGAAGAAACTTCATTCAGTTCTACACATTCACATGGCTATAATCCACTTGCATATCAGAGCAGGTACCAAGACTTTAGCAAAATTTTGTCTAAGGTAGAAGTCCTTCCTTAATATGCCAAATGTTTTCCTCCACAGAACAACCATAAATTTGCCAACTTTTTTCAATATGGACCTGGTAGTAACTAGGAAGGCAAGTATTTACAGTATACTTGTTCAAATGATGCATTTCTATTCTCCAGAATATAGATATTATCTGAATTATAATAACATTTATACCAATTCCATGGCTGCTGTAAAGTGCAAGACACTAAAATAGTGTTTAAAATAAACAATGTAAGAAATAAGCAGTCCTTACCTTGCAGTCTTAAATGTAGATTCCCTTCTCTAGTTCAGCTCAACTGACCAGCCCAAAAAGTTATGAGCATGAGGGTCTACATTCCCATTCCTCCGTCTCAGGCATTGCCTTTCAATCCTTATAGAGTGATGTTGTTCCAGCTTCGTGAGTGGGCTTTGCACTGTTGCAAGTTAAGAAACCCTGCTGGGGAGAGAGACTAGGAAGAAAAAGAAGAAAAAAAAAGGCCTATAAACTGTTCAACTAAGAATTAGCTAGGCTATCATTTTCTTGTCTGCAAAATGGCAGAGAAGTGTAAGGTGTTTTCCAGTGTTACGGTTCCTGTCTGTACTTGGTTTGCTGAGAAATGATAACAAACAGTGATTCTATGGCTTTTCCTGTAATTTTCTAGTCAAGGCCATAGGTACTATAGCATACATTAGCCAGCATTAGAACATCTCTGATGCTTTTATGGAATCCAATTGACCAACTGATTTATAACTTTCTCTTTTTTTTAACAGAAAAAAATCTTTGCCGGAAATGCAGTGAAAACTGCAAGACATGTACTGAATTCCATAACTGTACAGAATGTAGGGATGGGTTAAGGTAAGAGAGTGAAGGATTTTATTAAGTAACACAGCCCAAAGAGCTTCTCAATGTAAATAAAATGAAAAAATGCTAAACAAATAGCCCTCTTACGATCTACCCTTGGTTTGACTCCCATTCAAGCACTTGATTGCTATTTGCATTATCTCTACTATTATATGTGAGAAATGGGATGCTGTGTTGGCTAAAGAAGGGTTATATCCAAACAAATTCTCTTTAGAAAAGATGGCTCAGATATAAGTCAATAAAAATGGCCGTTTGAGAGGCATTCTTTGTGCTTTTTAACCTGCATTGTGCCAGTCAAGGATTACTGTGCAGGTAATACCAATGAATTATATTTAATCCCCCTGATTCATTCCTTGGATGGTCGGAAATTATTCCCTTATCTTTATTATTTCTCTCCACATACCCAATCATTCTCTTATCTTAAGTACCTCAGGCTTGGTTCCATTATGCTATGGTATGCACATAGATTTAACACCAGGAGATGTTTTCCTTGAACGGATGACTTGCTCATTGCTAAAGCTCAATAGTTGGTCTGCTCTCTAAGAGAACAATGTACAGCTCAAATTAACTAGGTAGCCTCTTGATCTCAGTAGGGAAGGTCAGACCATTCTGCATTTAGTGAGGAGTTGGACTGGGGCTGTACGTGGAATTAGAACTCTACTGCACTGGATTTCTTTTAGGTATTGATCGTATCTTTATTTCCACCTGTGATTGGAGGTAAACTAGGCAGGGTCCAGGCAGTTTCCAGGTAGGTACATTCTTCACCATTAACCAGTATTGGAGCATCATTTTCATTTAGATTGATCAATTATCTATGGCTTTATTTCTTTCCCCCCCGCCCCCATAAATGCATTCAGTATTAGCTTACTTGGCAATTTTCATCTCGAGACTTCAGTACTGAGAAAGAATTAGCCACCTAATTCTTCTTGGAGAAGGAGCAAAGCAGTATAATAAAAAGAAAGAAAGTAGATGTGGACTCACATCCTCCTCTGCTACTTATTAACTGTGTGACTTTGGGCAAGTCACTTGACTACTCCAAGCCTTCATTTTCTCCTCTATAAAATGATGATAATAACCCTTGTTTTGCTGGATTATGATAAAGGTTAACTCTGATAACAGTTACAAAATACCTTTTGTAGCATCTGGCCCATGCTTGGTTCATGAGAAATAAAAGATGATTTAAATTATTTTATTTCTTAGGGAACATTATATAGGGTATGTTAAACCAGTATATGCCAATAGAAATTTGAGAGCCATATATGTAATTTTAAATATGCCAGTAACCACATTAAGTAAAAAGATACAGGGGAAATTCGAGTTTCGTAAAATATTTTATTTCATCTAATATAAAAACTATTATCAGATGTTTTTCATTCTTTTTCATTGTTTCACTGTCTTCAAAATCTGATGTATGTTTTACCCTTAAAACACATCTGAGTTCAGACAAAATTGTTTTCATGAGAAATATTTGATCTTTATTTAGGTTTTGTAGTTGAAAAAGAAAAGTTTACGTAGCCAGGTTGTTCCAGACTTACCCAAATTTTTGCCAATAATGGAATCAAGTGCCAGTTTTTCACATTTAGACTTAAATTAGTTAAATAAAATTTAAAATTCTGTTGCTTAGCCATACTATAGCCACCTTTCAAGGTCTCAGTAGCCATGTGTGCCAGATTATGTTGTACAGCACAGGTCTAACCTGGCCAGTTTATCACAGAGAGCACAGAGGCGGTCACAATACCAGGTGCATTAGCCTCGCAGTACCTGTATTTTGGAAGCAGCAGCAAACTTCAGGATTGGTGACTACTGTCTGTTACACGTCCCCCTTACCTCATTCCTTCTCCACACAGTGCAACCTCTGTGTCCTGCTGAACAGATGCCAGCCTCACAAGGAAGTGCTATCCTGTATTAGAAAAACTAGGCAGCTTTTTAACTTTGATAAGTGTTTCAGTGGTCCTTATTTCCTCTCAAATAGATCCATTTAAGGCAATATCCTTTTTTCTAGTGCTACAGAAAGGGAAAAGGATTTTCTTTTGGCTTTTTAAATGACGGCTCGCTCGCTCTCTCTCTCTCTGGCCAGTGAGATCTATGAATGAAGCCCACTTTCAGTTATGCTGCCCTTAGTCTCCCTGCATTTTTCTAAGGGCTTCCAGGGTTGACCATTTTGCCTCAAGAGACTTGTAAATTTTTAAATAGTGGTGACGAACAAACAGGAAAAAAAAATATCAATGCACAAAATCCAGGAAGGAAATAAATGAAAATGCTACTGGTGACTGTTCAGGTTTCTTTTTTCTTCAACTTTGTTTTTGTACTTTCCAAATTTTTTTAAGAGCATAGGGAAAAATAAATTTTAATTTTTAAAATTAGCATTATCCACATACAAAGCAGTCAATTAAGATGTCGATTGGAGCAATATGAAGAGTTTAAAACAATGGAAACCATTTAACCCTGTTTAGATACGGATCTTCTAGTTTCATCGATTTGGTAGCATAGGATTACATTTTCTCACTATGTTTCGAATCACACTAGTTATTCAGTGAGTAATTTTTTATATTAACTTGTAATTTTTTTTTGACAGAGTCTTGCTCTGACAGCCAAGCTAGAGTGCAGTGGCACGATCATAGCTCACTCAAACTCCTGGGCTCAGGCAATCCTCTGGCCTCAGCCTCCCGAGTAGCTGGGACTGCAGGCAGGTACCAGCATGCCTGGCAGTTTTTTTTTTAGCCTCTGTAAAGATACAGTCTGACTGTGTTGCCCAGGCTGGTCTCAAACTCCCAGCCTCAAGTGATCCACCCACCTTAGCCTCTCAAAGTGCTGGGATTACAGGTGTGAGCCACCATGCCCAGCCAAATATAGTAACAATTTTTTATTTGTTTTCAATTTTAAGAATCAACCTGTAGACTGTGAAAAATATAATAGCTAACAGAAATTAGAAGGGAGAGAAAAATATGCATTTCTCATTTGACATTCTGACAACTCATTAGATACTATCTCATATTGCTAGATGAATAGAAATTTAAGTAGATTACTATAGTTAATTCCCAGAAACACTAAATAATAATATAACAAAAGTCAAGATGATTAGGGAACTAGCAGTACAGTTTTGATAAATTTTTCATTAGAGTGTTTAAAATGAATAAACCAAGAAATAGAGGCAAAAGTATTTTAAATCTTGTTTTGATGAGAACCCATAGAAGACTGAAATCAGAAACACAATCAGAATGGCTACTCGGAGAGTTTGAGCTGTGGATTGGACAGGATGGTCGTACACTTTTGCTCAGTCATAATTCATTTTACCATGTGTCCCTATTGCATTTATAATCATGAAATAACTCTTTAATTTATTATGTAGTAAGTCTGGATATTAAGAAGTTGTTGGGCATGTTGCTAGACAATGTGATTCTTTTGTCAATCAAATACTTTTTAAAACCTCTGGGTTGTAAGATGTTGCGCAAAGTAGGAGGGTGCCCATCAGTCTAACAAATTAAGGAGAATGTCCCCAAGGCCTAGCAGCATGTGTGTATGCTATGGACATCATTGTAGGCACAGAAAAACGTTATAAGCATTGGGGGGGGGGGGGAAGGGTACACGGGCTATTTCCCCTGCTTTGAAGCTTTGCCAAGTCCACTAGCCTCTGAGGGAAACTGTATCTGTTACATATGGAGTTTGGGGAGTCATTACGTTTTGGCCTGATCACAACAGTCTGTTTGAAGCTCCCTTTATACTTCTTCCAGCCTGCAGGGATCCCGGTGTTCTGTCTCCTGTGAAGACGGACAGTACTTCAATGGCCAGGACTGCCAGCCCTGCCACCGCTTCTGCGCCACTTGTGCTGGTACCTTCCCTAGTTCTTTTGTTTATTCTCCCGGTTCTGGTTTTGCTTTTCTTTCTGGTTTGAGCCGTCACTCATGCAACCCACTTGCTACTTTTAAAGGAATGCTGGAGAAGTATATTTCTCTTTTGATAATTGTGTGCGTATTCTCATTGAAAGTCAAGCAGTCATCGGCATCCTATCCTCACTGAGAAACTTACATAGCCCAGTGATATCTCCTCTTTCTAAAGGGAGTGGATGTTTTTGTCAAGAGGTTCCAATTTAACTGGGAAGGCTTTTTTCCCAGGGAAATTAAGAAAAAGCATGAATATTCAATTATTAATCTTAAAATTATAGCAGGTTGATGCCATTTTCTCAAACTGTTAAAGAAGCCCATGACACCACCTCCTCTGAGGTTTTATTTCTCATTTCCTGTGCTTGTCTTGCTTTTAAGGGGCAGGAGCTGATGGGTGCATTAACTGCACAGAGGGCTACTTCATGGAGGATGGGAGATGCGTGCAGAGCTGTAGTATCAGCTATTACTTTGACCACTCTTCAGAGAATGGATACAAATCCTGCAAAAAGTAAGTGGATCTGCCCCCTGGGCCCTAGCAATTAGACCTAAGTTCTTTTGATGACTACCTTCATAAGAAAATAAGAAAACGTAGAATTTGTAATGATAACACTAGGTTTAAACGTGGACCTGTGGACACTGTTGTGAAGCTTTAACCCAGCTTATCTTTGATATTTTTATTCCTTTGCCTCGGGGGCACCTTAATACCTTTACTATTTCAATTTCAAGTACATGCTCGATACCCTTTAAAATCACAGTGTCTACCTGTGTCATCAAACCTAGCAATTTTTGTGAGAAAAGATTTTTGAGTCATCTTCAGAGGGATAATTAAATTTAAGACATTATGAGGCTACTAGTAAACACACCTTCCCCTGTGCCTGTGTGAATGGCTTAAAAAATTATACATTTTTCTCATAGATGTGATACCAGTTGTTTGACGTGCAATGGCCCAGGATTCAAGAACTGTACAAGCTGCCCCAGTGGGTATCTCTTAGACTTAGGAATGTGTCAAATGGGAGCCATTTGCAAGGATGGTGAGTACAACAGCTCATATCGATCTTATGAGCAAAGTATGGTCTTTCTACTTTCAGGACTAATATTTTTCCACTTAAAAAAGAAACTCACAGCATGCATCAGATATGACATGCCCAATATTTTGGTGGCATTCATTCATCTTGAACTTCTACCCTTAATGGATTTGTTTGTTTGTTTGAATTGCAAGAAGAAATAAGTCAGCTATAGTGGCACTGGCCAATATAGCTCAAGTTAATTTTTTAAATTAATAAACTTCATTTTTTGAGAGCAGTTTTAGATTCATAAGCAAAATTGAGCAGAAAGTTCAGAAATTTCCCATATACCCCCTTCCCCCAACACAGGCGTAGCCTCTCCCACTATCAGCATCAAGCACTAGAGGGGTACATTTGTTACAGTTGATAAACCTACAGTGACACATCATTATCACCCAAAGTCCACAGTTTACATTAGGGCTCACTCTTGGTTGTACATTCTGTGGGTTTGGACAAATGTATAACAACATATATGCAGCATTATAGTGCCATGCACAGTAGTTTTATTGCCCTGAAACTCCTGTGAATTACCTACTCATCTCTCCTTCCCCCTACTGGTTTTTTTTTTTTTCACTGTCTCCATAGACTTGCCTTTTCCAGAATCTATATAATTGGAATTATACAATATGTAGCATTTTCTAGCTAATTGTTGTATTTCTTTCCAGTTTTTACCATAGGTACTTTTCACCAGATTTTTAAAAATACCATGCACATAGAGTTTTGTATGTTACTTTTTGCACTAAGCATTAGGCAAAAACATTATCCTATGTTTTTACAGTTTTAGGAAACTTTATTTTTAATAGCAGCATAAAATTCAATCATGTGAAGATGCTACAGTTTTTAGCCGATCTCCTATTATTTGGATTGTTTATAATTTTGATATATAAAGAGTAATTAAATGGTATCTGAATCTTTCATTAAGCCTGTGAGGCTAGAAAGTAATATCTTCATCTTACAGAAGGGAAAACCCAGGGTGTAGAGCTAGGAAATGATCGACCTAAGTATAGAACTTAATATTTCACAATGTTGGTCTGTTCTTTGCACCTTGCACCAATGATTCTGAACCAAGATGCCAGGATGCAGCACCATCCCCAGATATTCTGATTGAATTGATCTAGGGTGCAGCCCATGATCATGGGTTTAACTTCCCAAATGTTTCTAATCTGCAGCCAGGTTTAAGAACCACTGCACATCCAATTCTCCCTAACAATTTAACACCAAGTTCCTTCACCTCTCTAGCCTCAGTTTCCCCATCTGTAAAATGAATGAATTTAAAATTACTCCAACTCCAACATTTTGTGAGCTAACTTATGCTGAAGGGACCCTGAAATTTACTCCTAAATTTATGCAGATATAGAAAGATAAAGATACGATGTAGAAAGACATTGCTTAAACTACTGTTGTTCAAAACATCTTCGGATTGTTATAAAAATAGAAAAAGAAAACAAAAAATAAGCAGTTGCAACAATCTGACTGACACGATCCCTGCCCTAGGTTTATTCTTTCCCTTTGACACGATCCCTGCCCTACTAGGTTTATTCTTTCCCTTCTTTTGAACGTTTCCCCTTCTGGAAATTTCATGAAAGAAAAAACAGTGCCATTGTCAGGAGAATGTGGACTTGGAAGTCAGAATGCCTTGGGCAGGTTATGAACTGCTCTGGGCCTCATTTCCACCATCTCTAGAAAATGAAGAAGATAATACTACTGACCTCATCTGGTTATTCCACAACTCCCTACAAGGAATCTCAAAAAGGTGTCAGAAAGGACTGGGCACATGATAGCACTGCTAGGACATCATTTGTGGTCTGATTTCTTTGGAGCATCGTAGATGACTTTGCATCTCCATGGTTTTTCCAGTATATGATTGGTCTGGGGCAGGGATGGGCCCGACACAGGCCCTGTGTTCCGAGGTTTTCTTGCCAGGGCTGATTCTACTATAGCACACTGAGGTGAGAGAGGCTTGGGGTGGTGGCACCCCAGGGACCATGTAAGTGTCATTTTTTAGTTACCAGCAAGTGCCTCCTTTACTTTACTTAAAAACATGGTTCCCCTATTTCTGAATATGACCAGAATTTTTTGTAATTAGTAACAGAAAATTTGAGGAAGATGAAAGAGATTGGGCCAGGCATGGTGGCTCACGCCTGCAATCCCAGCGCTTTGGGAGGCCAAGGAGGGCAGATCACTTGAGGTCAGGAGTTTGAGACCAGCCTGAGCAAAATGGTGAAACCCCATCTCTACTAAAAATACAAATATTAGCCAAGCGTGGCACGCACCTGTAATCCTGGCTCCTCGGGTAGCTGAAGCATGAGAATCACTTGAACCCTGGAGGTTGCAGAGAGCAGAAATCGTGTCCAGCCTAGGCAACAGAGCAAGACTCTGTCTCAAAAACAAAAAGTGACTGATGCAGGAAATGCATTGTAACTTGAAATGTTCACCAATAGCACTTGGTACCAGGCATTTCAAGAGTTGCAATGCTTTAACTACTTTCCCTAAACCATGGTGAGTACCAGACAAGTTATGTCAAATGGCGCTTTGCTAAAAGCGGAGTGTCAGCATAGTGGACAGAAGTGGGAAATGAAGAATCGTATCTGCAGTGAGTCCATTTTCAGGTCAGTTACAAAATGAGATCATTGATGGCTCACCAGGCTTTTGAAATCACATGGCAGCTGCACTTAAGGATGTGTTATTTATTCTCTTTCAACTGTCGTATTTCTGTGATTCTAAGACATATTTTTTACATTTTATCATCTCGGAAATCAGATGCATCTTATAATTTGTGGCAGTTTACAACCACTTTTGACCAGAAAACTGATGTGATATCAGTGTTACTGCCCAGATATGAGACTTGGATGCAGAGATATCTGTTCAACCGAGTTAGGCACACGACTACTTCTTGTGTTGAATTTAATTGCAGTTCTAAAGAAGTTCGAAAATTAAACTATTGTTCAATATTCAAAGGAAATAAGCATGGAAACAAAACAGAATGTTACATAAATATAACAAATACTTTTAATAAGTATAAAATTAAAATTCTAATTGATAAGAGAATATTGTGTCACAGTTTAATATGAAGAAGCATCTTTTCCTTTGTGTTACTTAAAATGATGGTGCATCTTAAATCTTGTGTCTTAGATTCAATGAAATATGGTATAAATGACTGTATACTCTCTGCTCTAGGTAACGCAAAGAAGAAAAATTTCTTGCTTGTGTTATTAATTGATTTCTAATTTCTTTTTCTAATTTTTTTTTCTTTCACAAATGGATACCAATTACATTGGACTGCAATGTCTCTCCTTGAAAAACAATGCTGTTGACTGAAATCACTTTGGGTGGACCAAATTTCCTCCTGTTGACTACTCCTGAATGATCTCTTCCAATCCCCCAAATCTGCCTCTCTGGCCAATCACAACCTTCTTCCGTGTGTGTCCATCATGCCGCTCTGGTCTTCAACTCCCCTCCTCTCTTGCTGACTTCCGGAAAAGCAACGGAAGAGTCCTGGGCGGAAGGAGGCTTCTGTATGCTTGTGAAAAAGAACAATCTGTGCCAACGGAAGGTTCTTCAACAACTTTGCTGCAAAACATGTACATTTCAAGGCTGAGCAGCCATCTTAGATTTCTTTGTTCCTGTAGACTTATAGATTATTCCATATTATTAAAAAGAAAAAAAAAACAAGCCAAAAAAAAAAAAAAAAAGCAAGCCACCTCTCTCTTTCTTGCTCTCTTTTTCTTTCTCTCTCTCTCAAGTTTGTGCAGGGAGATGGTGAACTGTTTTGTCAGAACTTAAATGGAAAAAAAAAATAAACCTACAACAAGCCTACCTTTTATAACTGGGTGTTTAGTGCTAAACAGCCAGAACCACAGAGACAGTATTGTATGACCAAAGCATTTGATGCCAAAATTTGACGTTAAAGTAATGATTTGATTTCCTGCCCTGGTTTTGAAGGTCCATTTTTTTCCCTTTTGCATTTGATTTGCTTGTTTCCCCCTTTGAAACACCTAAAAATACCTTTCCAAAACATTGCAAGAGCATAAATAGACAAAAATGAAATAGAAAGCTCTTGCATGCTTGAGTCCACCATTGGGGGAAATGACAGAAAATTGGACCTGAGGGCATTAGGAACATCCTACAGAGTTGTGTTTAGTGTCGTTTGCCATGGTATTTCACAGTGAAACATTGATACTCTCCACACATCATTTACTTCATGCATTATGTACTGGTTTTTGCATTTTACTCACTTGATAAGTCTGCTGCACTGGTTTCATCAGATAGACTTGCTGCTACTGGCTTTTCCATTGTAGATTGGGTTATTTTACACACAGTTCGCCAAATGGGATTGCTCTGTATAGTCAAATTGGTGATGGACAGATGGGCAGAATGCAGAGGTACATAGATGAGCTGAGGCTGATCCAGCTCCCCTGAAATTCAGAGTGTTAACTTTGTAGACCCTGCACAACCTCTTGGTGCTATCTAGCCATTACCCCCATTTTTTTTTAAAGGCCATCAGAAATTCCATTTGTCATGGTGGGAAGCATTTTGAATATGATGCAGGAAATTTCTTCCTGGAGTCAAAAGTTTCTAAGAGGTCCTGTATTTTTAAGAAATGGAATTTATTTAAATAATATTTAAGCTGGTGCCCATGTTGGCCAGGCAACTTTTTTCAATGGTGCTTATTAGAAGTTTTTTCATCTTGTCATTTTAAGAAAATAAAACTGGAAATTGAATGTGGGTGGCATGATTGTACCCTTCTAGTTCTTATTTTCCCACTCCTCTGTCCCTCTATAACTATGCCATACTATTATATGCTGGTCCACTGAATGTTGAGATGATCTTGTTTCTTTGGGTTTTTTTTTTTTTAAGAAATATTTTCACTGGTTTTCTATGACTCTCTAAACACTTCATCAAAACTAGAAGACTGAATTATGAGAACACTGTTTGAATTAGTGGCCAGAAACGATGAAATCTTACAG